CTCTCTTTCTGTTCTCTTGAGGAAGGCTTGCAATGCTATAAGTTTCCCTCTTAGGACTGCCTTTGTGTTATCCCAGTGGTTCTGATAACATGTGTCTTCATTATCATTTTGTTCTAAAAATTTGATAATTTCCTTCTTGATCTTGTCTCTGACCCATCTATCATTCAGCATAAGATTATTTAGCTTCCATGTTTTTGTATGAGTCTGCAGATTACTATTGTTTCTGAGTTCAACTTTTATTCCATGATGGTCTGAGAAGATGCCTGGAATAATCTCTATTCTTTTGAATTTGCTGAGGTTAGATTTGTGACCTAAGATGTGATTGATTTTGGAATATGATCCGTGGACTGATGAGAAAAATGTGTATTCAGTTTTGTTAGGATGAAATGTTCTTCTGTTAAATCCAAAAGTTGAATAGTTAAATTTAAGTCTAAGATTTCTTTGCTAAGCTTCTTATTGGAGGGTCTATCCAACACTGCTAAAGGAGTGTTAAAATCTCCAACTATGATGGAGCTGGGGGAAATCAAGTTGCTCATGCCAGTTAGAGTGTGTTTTATAAACTAAGGTGCATTCTGGTTGGGTGCATAGATATTGATAATTGAGATCTCATCGTATTGAGTATTGCTCTTAACAAATATAAAGTGGCCATCTTTATCCTTGGTTACTTTTGTTGGTTGAAAACCTATTGTCCCTAAAAATAAAATTGCAACACCTGCTTTTTTTCTGCTTTCCATTAGCCTGGAATATAGATAACCATCCCTTCACCCTGAGTCTATGTTTATCTTTTAAGGTAAGACGAGATTCTTGTATTCAACAGATGTCTGGTCTGAGTTTCTGTATCCAATCAGCCAATCTGTGCCTGTTTAGAGGACAATTTAAGCCATTCACATTGATAGAAATTATTGATAAGCCTGATAAAATTTTAGGTATTTTCCAAAGGTCTAGTGGACGTTTTCTATCCTTTTGCCACTGTAAAAGCTGGAGTTTGATCAATAGTTTCTGAGTTAGTTTACTTTTGTGGTGGAGGATTGCACTGGTCATTATGGAGAATAGGTCTGAGAATATCCTGGAGAGCTGGCTTGGTTATGGCGAATTTCTTCAATGCATGGATGTCATTAAAGTATTTAATTTCTCCACCATAAATGAAACTCAGTTTAGCTGGATACAGGATCCTGGGTTGAAAGTTATTTTGTTTTAAGAGATTAAATATTGATGACCACCCTCTTCTTGCCTGAAAGATTTCGGCAGAGAGAACTGCAGTCATTCTAATATTCTTCCCCTTGTAGGTTATGGTTTTCTTACATCTAGCTGCTTGCAGGATTTTCTCTTTCATATTAACTTTCTTGAAGTTAAGTATGATGTGTCTGGGGGATGTCTTATTTGGGTTGCATCGTGCCGGGGTTCTAAATGTTTCTGCTATCTGAATTTCAGGATTTCTTGGTATATCTGGAAAGTTTTCTTTCATAATTTCATGCAGAAGAGCCTCAGTGTCTTGTGAATCAACTTCATCACCTTCAGGAATTCCTATAAGATGAATATTAGTTTTTTTTTAATTATCCCAGAGCTCTCTGAGACAATGATACATCTTTGCTTTCCATTTCTGTTCTTCTTTGGATGCTTGGGCATGTTCAAAAGCTTTGTCTTCAATGTCTGAGATCCTTGCTTCTGCCTGCTGCATTCTACTACCAAGGGATTCTACTGTATTTTTCAGATCTTTGAGGGCTGCAATCTTTTGCCTCAATGTTTCAAAATCTTTGGTGGCTTTGTCTTTGAATTTGTTGAATTCTTGAGAGAACTTTTGGAATGCTCCTTGAATTTCTAATTCTATCTTTGCCTCCATTCTATTAATCTTATTTGCAATCCAAATCTGAATTTGATTTCTGACATCTTCACCATCTGTTTATGAAGGGGATCTTCAGTTTCATCTGCCACATCCTTTCTTGGGAGGGTCAATCTACTCTGGTTAGTCATATTACCAGAGCTTTTCTGCTTATTCTGCCCCATGATTATTTTACCCCGTTTGGCTTTTCTCCTTGAGCTTTGTCAATGACCCATATGGTGTTACGGCCTGAGAGACTGGGGACCTGCTTGGTGTGGTGGAGCTAAGTGGCTCTGTCTTTTTTTCTGGTCTCTATCCTACCCTAGTGAATCACTTACTCTTGGTTGAAGTCTCAGCTGTGAAGAAATACCAGCAATTAAGTCACCTCTGCTCCCCACAAACAACAATTGAGCACAGAAAATCAAGCCTTCCCTCAACCATATACCCAGGGTGTCACCTTGGATAGTCTTTGGGTGATTTGCCCAGTTTAAGGGGTTAGAATCAGTTGTCCCAGTCATCACTGGTCTCAAGTGGGATAGTTCAAAAAGTCTCTGGCAACTAGATAGGAGGGGTCTGTTGGCAGCTCAGATATGACTCAATCCGGTGCTCCATGAGGGCAGACAGACCCACCCAGCAAATGAATTAATCTGGGAAGGTTGATGCCTCCTTCCCCACCTTGCACCCAGTCACTGGTAATCCCACAGGGCTGTGACCCAGTTCAATCCAGTAAGCAACTGCTGCCTGGGTTTATGACTGCCTGAGTCACCAGGAGATCTGAGTCCGGCAGAGGTACCTTTGGTGTTTACTATAGGCAGGGGCAATTCACTCAGTTCCAGCCCCAGCACCTGGTTGAAGTTGCTGACAGAACAGGACAGAGCAAGGCTAAATTCCTCTGCAGGTCAGATGCTGCTAGAGCTGATACAAAACTCAGCCCTGGGCAGCAAGCAATTAGAGTTTACACTCAGGTGTCAATTCCAGCCTCTGCCCGCCCACTCCTTTGTCTCAGCTATATTCCCCTGAGGGCTAAGTGCTATTATGATCAGATAAGCAGTCTACTCACAGCCCCTCCCTGTAAGTCTGTGAGCTGCACTTATTCTAGTCCCTGCACTTGGCCCAGGTCAGTACTGCTGCCCGGAACCCCTGATTGCCCAGAGAGACAGGGCTTGTCTCTGAAATGGCCTTAGGAATGTGATCCTTTCCCAATGCCACCACTGCTGGTCTGCAAGTCAGGAAACCACAACTCTTGTATGATTCACACTCAGCTGATCATCTTCTACTCGCTCCTGTGCCACAGAGTCAGCACAGATCAGCACCAGCCCTTTCCCCCTCCATTCCTCTCAAGAAAGTGCCCAAGAATCTGGACTCCATGGGTTACAAACCTCCAGACCTCAGGTAGGGGGGATGGAATCCTGGGAGTTCAGAGTTGCAGGCAGAGAATACCTATAATTTTATACAGTCTTATAGTTTTATGCCTGGCAGAAGAGTGCCGTGGCACCCTAGTAGGGGTAGGAGGTCCAATTTTTAGGGGGGTCTCTCCTGTGGTATAGAGTGGGAGGATGTTTGAACTCTGCTCACTTGTTCATATGGAGTAAACTGCAAACCTTTCTTGTGGGGGAGGGGACTCCCATCCACTTGGTGGTGGATTTTGTACCTTTTGATTGTCTTTTGGGCGTCGCAGCTTGGCTCAGAAAGGATGATGTGCGTTCTTCAATCTTCTCTCTTGGCTCAGCTTCAAACCATCAGCTTACTTGCTAAACTTCTGTCCTTTAATTCTCCTGGACAGAAGCTTCTGTAAATATCTGGCTGCAGTCTACCATCTTGCCTCTGCCCTCAAGTTTTAATCAGTGCTTTTTCTTTCTCTTCTTCAAAAGGAATCATGTAATTTGGGTGTTGGATGCTGGTGGGTTTACTGTTCATTCAGAGGAAACCAAGTATCTTCCAAAGTTCTAGGGAATTATGGGATGTTTTTCAGAAGGAAAGACACTTGAAGAGCTCCTTGGAGCTCTAACTGGGGAGTCAGAAATTCTCCATTTGCCTTGGAGAAGCAGATGAATGTGACATTAACTTTTAAATTTTATTGATGTGACTTTAGTACTTGTTTTTGCATTGTTAGGAAATAACTAGAGTAGTCACAATAGTTAACATTTTACTAATAATTTTAGCATTGATCCTCTTATTTTATCCTGCACATTATGAAGTAGGTACCATTATTCCTAAGATAGGGTTGAGGAAATTGAGATTAGAAAGAATAAATTATAGCTTCCTCAAAGTCACCCATAGCTGCAAGGGATAGTTCCAAAATGGAGCTCTTTTCCACCGTTATCCTGGAATGAGAGAATAGGGCTTGGGTTACAGTGGTGAAATCCACTCCAAAGCCCAGACAGTAAGTTGTTCTGAGATTCACTTCTGGTTGTCTACACAACAGGCACCCTGTGACCCTTTTCTTTTCCTGAAAATTCTAAATGCTTGCTTTTCCAGCCTGTCTTGCAACTAGGGTGCCCAAAGGACACAATTCTCATCAATGAGCTTCGGAGAGTTGCTGAGTGTGGGTAAGGCTGGGGTTTGTAGCCAAGCTTCCGCTTTCCTGGTAGGATGGACACATGCACGACCTCTGTACTTTTCCTGGCCATGAGCCTTGGTAGGTTTTATGTGTCCAGAATTTTATCCATTTTGTCTAGGTTTTTTAATTTATTGGGGTATAGCTATTCATAGTGGTCTCTAATGATCCTTTGTACTTTTGTGCTATTCATTGTATTGTCTGCTTTATCAGTTATGATTTTATTTATTTGGGTTTTCTCTCTTTGACTTTTGGTTTAATTTGTTCTTTTTCTAGTTTCTCAAGGGGGAGGTTGATGTTAGTATTTTTAGTCTTTTCTAAGATAGACATTTATTTCTATAAGTTTCTCCCCTATAGCACTGATTCAGCTACATTCCCCCCAACAATTGAAAAGTTATGTTACTTTTAAAAAATGTTTATTCAGCCCAGAGTCCTGTTTAATATCTTTTTTGACTTCTTCTTTGACCCATGTGTTATATGTAGTCCACTACAACAGTTCTGAGACAGACCGTGGTATGATTATTTCACTTCCAAGAAACAGATGATAACCTCCTTTCTGTCTCATCATGTAAGTTTCAACTTGCTGGGCTTGTTGGTTGCTAGAACTTCATTTGTTTCTATCTGTATGGATATTAACATTTCACAATTTTTGTGCATCTCAAAACTTTTGTAATGACCCATGTATATAAAAGTTTTATTCATTTTCTAAACATTTAAAAAGTTTTCATATACCTTTGTATTACTACTGTGTTATTAAATCCACTGTAGTCAAACTCCTGGGTCAAGCAATCCTCCTACCTCAGCCTAGGATTTCTGGTGCAAGCCTTCCCTGGCTAATTTTTCTATTTTTATTTTTTTTAATTTATTTTATTTTTAATTAAAAAAATATTTTTAGTAGAGATGGGGTCACACTCTTGTTGATGTGTTTTGAACTCCTTATCTCAAGCGATCCTTCTGCCTCGGTCTCCTAGAGTGCTAGGATTACAGGTGTGGGCCATTGTACATGGCCATGAAAATGATATCTTTTTAGAATTTAATTTCAGAGATAAGTTCCACAATCTAATAGCCAACCTTTTAATAAAGAGCAGGTCATGAATGTGACCAGGCAAGGCTATGTTCTATGTGTTCTAAAAATCTCTGAAATGTATTGAATTTCTCTGATGAACTATCATCTATTTTTCATACAACATAAATTTAAATAATTCATCATTTCCTTACCTTTCTAGAGTGTATTTCTTTGACATATAATGGGAATAAAAATTCTGATTCCCCTTCCAGGTGAAGTCCATCTTGTGTTACATGCAAGTGACCCATTCCTATCTGTGAAAAAATTGAGACAATATAGATTTTATATTGCTCTTTTCCACTTTTCTTAGTATTAACTTATGCATCTATTTTCATAAATTATGAGTAAAACTGAAACCTTTTCCTCTTAGAACTGGAACTAGACAAGGTTGTCGTCTATCACCATTACTATTCAACATTGTGCTGGAAGTTTTAGCCAATACAATTAGACAAGACAAGAAAATAAAGGGCATCCAAATGGGAGCAGAGGAGGTTAAACTTTCCCTTTTGCTGATGATATGATCTTATAACTGGAGAACCCCAAAGACTCAACCATAAGACTCTTGGAAGTCATCAAAAAATACAGTAATGTCTCAGGATATAAAATCAATGTCCACAAGTCAGTTGCTTTTGTATATGCCAACAATAGCCAAGATGAGAGGTTAATTTTCTACCACCTTTTCTGTATTTCTCTAAATGTCTTACTTAAAATGTTAGGTGTTTTATTCAATATTCAATATTTTATTAAATCTTGTAAATACAAAAAGACTGCTTAGAAAATTTATATAAGAATCATTTTACAACTCATACCTTGTAAGAAAAAAAATCTTGCCCTTACTATTTAAAAAAATTTCAATTAAGAAATAATAAAATAGATTCATTTGTGAGTACAGTTCTATGAGTTTAACACATGTATAAATTTGTATAACCACCAACACAATCAGAACATGGAATTCTATCACCTTCCAAAATATACCCAACACCTTTTTAAGGCTTTATCACTCAAGTTCACTATATAGTAAGTATGTTTAGGGACTTACATGAAAAGCAATACAGGAAGATGTGGAGCTCTGTTCAAGGTGCCTTCTTCCAGGGAGTTTACAATCATGAAGGACTACCAGACAGATAGGAGACACAGTTCTGGAGGTCACCAATGACCACCATGCTGTTAAATCTTGTAGGCATTTCCAACTTCACTTAATGATAAATTCTCAGCAGTATTTGACACTAAACCTCTTTTTTCCCCTTGAAACAATGTCCTCTTTTGGGTTCCATGATACTGTGCTCTCCTAGGCTTCCTTCCATTTCCAGACCCACACTCTCAGCCTTATTACAAGCTCATCCCTCCCCACCTAGCCTTGGACTGCTGCTTCCTCAAGTTCAGTCTTAGGCCCTTTCTTGGATTTGCTCTGACTCAGCCACCATTATTACCCTCTCAGTGTAGAAGACTCCCCCACATATATATTATCATCTTAACCATTTTAAATTATATCGTTCAGTGGCATTATGTACATTCATAACGTTGTGTAATCATCAGGGTCCCTTTCTAGAACTCTTTTGATATTGTAAAACTGAAACTCTCAACTCAGAATGGTAACTCTCCATTTTTGTCAGCTCATAGCCTCTGGCAACTACCATTCTACTCTTTCTAAAAACTTTTTTTGCAGTTTTTGACCAGGGCTGGGTTTGAACCTGCCACCTCTGGCACATGGGGCTGGTGCCTTACTCCTTTGAGCCACAGGCACCACCCTAAAAGTTTTTTTTAATTAAAAAATTTTAATGGATATGTTGTAATTGTACACACACACACATATATACTCATATATATGGGTACAACTGCTGTTTTGTGTATATACCCATATATATGGGTATAATTTACTGTTTTGATACATATATATTGGATAATGATCAAACCATGTTATTTAGCATTTTTGCCTCTATGAATTAGACTACTCTCAGTACTTTATATAAGAGGAATAATCCATATAATGGGATAAAAAAAAACCCCACAAGCCATCCGTATGCTGTCTCCATGAAACACAGCCAGCCTCAAAGAACAAAACAAGACTCACAGTGAAGGGTTGGAAAATAATATTTCAGGCAAATGGAAATCAGAAGAAAGGAGGTGTTGTAATCTTTTTTTCAAATATAAATTGATTTAAAGCAACTACAGTCAAAAAAGACAAAGAAGGACCCTTCATACTGGTCAAGGGAATGATACAACAAGAGGATATTTCAATTCTAAATATTTATGCACCAAACCTAAATGCTCCCAGATTTATGAATGGACCTTAATTGGTCTGAGCAATATGATATCCTGTAACATCATAATAGCAAGGGAATTTAACACTTCTCTCACAGAATTGGACAGATCTTCTAAACAGAAACTAAACAGAGATACAAGGGACTTAAATATTATCATACAACAACTGTGATAATAGACATATATGGAACACACCATTCCAAAGCTATGGAATATACGTCCTTCTCATCAGCCAATGGATATTGTCCAAAATAGATTATATCCTAGAACAAAAATCAAACCTCAACAAAATCAAAAGAATTGAAATTATACCTTGTATCTCTTCAGACCACAAGACAGAAAAGGTGGAACTCCAAAACAAGTTGTCATTCCCCACACAAAGGCATGGAAGTAAAAGAACCTTATGCTGAATGACAGTTGGGTCCAGGAAGAGATAAAGAAGGAAATAATTAACTTCCTTGATCATAACAACAATGAAGACACAAAGTACCAAAACCCATGAGACAATGAATAAGCAGTTCTAAGAGGGATATTTATTGTATTAGGAACTTATATCCAAAAAACAGAATGTGAGCACAATCAACAACCTAATGACTCATCTGAAAGAAATGAAAAAAGAAGAGCAATCTAATCCCAAACCTAGCAGAAGAAAAGAAACAACCAAAATTAAATCAGAAATTAATGAAATGGAAAACAAAAGAATCATTCAGAAAATTAACAAAATAAAAGTTGGTTCTTTAAAAAGATAGATAAACCCTTGGCTAGATTAAACAGAAATATAAAAGTAAACTCTTTAATAATCTCAATCATAAATGAGAAGGGGAAAATATCAACTGATACCACAGAGATACAAGAGATTATTTCTGAGTACTACAAAAAAACTCTATGGCCAGAAATTTGACAATGTAGAAGAAATGGACCAATACCTGGAATCACACCATCTCCCTAAACTTAACCAGGAAGAAATAGACCTCTTGAACAGACCAATATCAAGCACTGAAATGAAATCAACAATAAAAAAGCTTCTGGGCAGCACCTGTGGCTCAAAGGAGTAGGGTGCCAGCCCTATATACTGGAGGTGGCAGGTTCAAACCCAGCCCTGGACAAAAATTGCAAACAAACAAGCAAACAAACAAAAAACCCAACCAAACAACAAAAACAAAAAACCTTCCACCTAAGAATATCCCAGGACCAGATGGCTTCACACCAGAATTCTAACTGTCAAAGATGAGCTTGTACCTATACTGCAGAGCCTATTCCAAAACATTGAGGAGAAAGGAACCATCCCCAGCACATTCTATGAATTGGACACAGCTGCTGGCACAATTTAAATGGTGTAAACTTATCATGCCTAAAAGTAATCTTAAATACTACAAGATATGACAAGAGCATAAACTATAGTGTCACTCTATAATCACATAGAGTTTATAAAACTAATTCATCCATTTTCTGAAATAATGCATGTTGTCATTCATTCAAGGTGAAGTTTGGCTTTGCTCACACATGATGGGCTATGCTTCTTTTTAATACCAGGCCCATCTACAGACCTTCCCAGGACATCCTATCTCTGAATCTCCTACATAGCTGAGGTGCTGTGTCTGGCTGATGCAGGGCTCTCTATTTAGCCGATGTCTGTGACAAATCCCATGGTTTATAACCTAAGGATTTCAGCTTTGCTTCAGTCTCCAAAAATGTTAAAGTAAAATATTTTAGATGTAGACCTTAAAACGTTTATTATGTGGAAAAACATGCATCCTGTATATGGTGCTACCTTCATAAAGTAAAACTGTCCAGTGGACCTAAATACTATTGCAAAGCAGTAGAAATATTGCTTTTATAAATTTTAATCAAGAAATCACAACTTAAATTTGGCTAATTTGAATATATTGATATAGATAGTTCTCCATCCATATATTTATATATAACTTATAACAACAATTTACATTTATATAAATATATTAAACATTAAATAATCTATTTTAAACCTACATTTTTATTTGATTGATATTTTACCTCTTTGCACATGTAAAAACATAAAATTTTCTTTGTTCTGTCAGCAAAATACATAATATCTCTGTGGCTAGAACCACAACAGGATAGAAATAATTACATAGATAGTAAAGGATACTAATAACGGAAGGCATTTCAGACCAGCTACTGTTCTTAGAAAGAGCCTGCATATATCTTAACTTCAGATGGATGAGAGGAAGAGATGTTCTCTGCAATATTTTTAATCTCATTGTAGCTATCATGGAAAATTAAGGCATTTTAAATTATATAAACATTATTTCAAAAAGTACACAAAATAATACCAGAGCATATAAAATTATGCAGTTATCTTTAAAACATAAGTATGTTTAAGATGATATGAATTCCTTAGGTAATTGAATATTGCATCTGTTGTTGAATGTTGAAGTATGCACATGAATTTATGGTATATCAGCATGAAGTTTCTCAAAAGTGAGAGAGTAGTAGCATTTAAATGGTAAGTACTTATAAATTTGTAGGATTAGGGAAACATGACTTATACACTTTTACAAATTGATGATTTAATCTTTGAACAATCTTAACCACAAACTCAAGATCATAGCAATCTTCTCATCACGTACAGATAATGACTAATGAAAAAAGTATAATAAAACAAGTAAACCCAACGCAGTATAGTTCACAATGATGTAATAATGGTGAAAAAGTAAATGCTGCATATACATTTTGCTCCTGAAAATTCTGATGCAGACAGAAAAGAAGCAAGTAATGGTTACATTAAAGGAAATGTCTATCAGTACAATATAGACGAAGTGATATAGTGAACAAAACAAGAACATGCTTACCAGTAAAAAAATAGTAATACTTACTGGAGAAAACCACATCACCTTAAGTATCCAAATTGTAAGAGCAAAATTCACAACAAGGATGATAAGTAAAAGAAGAACAAACAAGTAGAGGCAACGTTTTCTCCAGCCATAAATGCCGATTTTGCAGACGCTTGGATTCTCTGGCCTCTCTATGTGGGTGCCTTCTGTGGCTGTGATGTACTGCTCGCGAACCATCTGCCACAGGATGTGCAGTGGGAGGAGAGAAAGAGACAGAAAGAGAGAGGAAGAGAGAGAGTGAATTGGTTTGTCAATGCTGATTTACAAGGACCCTAAAAAAATACTTTTCTCTGTAGTAACAATTTTCCAAAATTAACTACTTTTGAAAAGAGAATAAAATATTACTTTGGAACATGTCACTGTGTTTCACTCACAGGGAGCTATTTAATCTGTCATTTAAAATATTTTTGATATGACAAGTTTATTTAAAATCTAGTGACCATATTTAAAGTTTTTAATCAATAATTTCTATGTCTATTTATGTGTGTATAGCTTTCCCAGTTCTGCAGAGTTAATCTTGGAATTGAAACATCAACCTACAAGAATTAAGTTCTTAAAAGATTCAGTGGGAAAAAAAATCAAGGTGGTACTTGTATCTTTTAATAAAAGAATCCAAGTACCTAATTTTATGCCAAATGATTAAATTAATTTTTTTCCAGCTACTAAATTACTCAGAATTTAGAATACTCTACAAGATACCTACTACACTAACCTCCAGCTATAATAAAGTTCTCCAGTTTTTTTTTTTTTTTTGAGGTAGTGTCTATGTTGCCCTCAGTAGAGTGCTGTGGTGTCAGCTCACAGCCCCCTCCAAGTCAGCTTAAGTGATTCTCTTGCCTCAGCCTCCCAAGTATCTGGGACTACCGGTGCCCACCACAACACCTGGCTATTTTTTTGTTGCCATCGTCATTGTTATTTAGCTGGCCTGTGCCGGGTTCAAACTCACCACTCTCAGTGTATGTGGCTGGTGCCATAACCACTGTGCTATGGGTGCCACGCCTAAAGTTCCCAGTATTGACCTAAAGAATCTGAATATGTGTGTGCGTACAAAGGCTTATAAATACTCTTTGTTTTATGTAAACTAGGGTAAGAAATTTAACAACAATTTCAACTTTATGAAAGATTTTAAAAAATTATTCATTTTTTCCCTTTATACAGAGAGCAGAATAAAGTGCTTTTTGGCAATTAAGTTAAAATCAAAGATAATAAAGACTTTTGTGATTGTTAATGTAGTAGAATAATGAATCTGATTATAAAATATTGTCCTCTGGGATCTTTTATGAAAAGGTTATCTATTTATTTTAGGTGTGATTTGGGCTGTCCTTATCAAGAAGAGTCTAAGATAACTCTTTAAACCTCTTTCCAGTTCAAACATAGGCATTTCCCCATGTTCTGACTGATTATATAAAATTGTGTTCTTCATCACATAGTACCTTCAAGTCTTCAGATTTGACATTCTACATTATTTAACACCCAAATGTTTGAGGAGTTCATAAGGGCATTATTCATTTACTTGTTTCTTTGACCTCCCCCATTCTTTCCTACGTTTGAACCAGCTGCTCAGGTCACAGTACCAGATGCTTTTGTTTTCTTTCCCTGCAAGCCCCACATCGGTGTTATCAACTCTGCTTTTCATCTACCTCCCAAATCTGTCTACTTCTCTCCATTGTCATTGCTAACTCACTACTTCAGGCTACCAGGAATCCTCTCACCTGCATGACTGTAAAATGTGTTTTCACTCTTTTCCTTCTGGAAACCATTCTCTAAACAGCAGTAAAATGTAAGTTAGCTCCTGTCTCTATTATTCTGGATGTTCAATGGCTTTTCCTGAGAATGTCCAAACTCTTCTGTCTTCTACAGGACCCTGCATGAGCTGGTCTTGGCTGATGTCTTTGTGTTCATCTGCTACAGTTCTGTCATTTGCTCACAGTATACTCTTCAGTAGACCAGCTGCATCTCCTCAGGACCTTCATCCTGACTCTCTCCACCTGCTGTGTCTTCTGCTCTATCAGTAGCAGCTCACATGGAATCTCCTCAAAGAAGCCTTTCTGGACACTCAGTTGCCCTCAGCCACCCTACTGTATTAAATTTATTTCAAAATGCTTATCATGATCTGAAATAAGGGTAGCAGCTCCAGAATCTCCATAAAACACAGCCTAAGAGAGTGCGATTGGATTGGGAAGGGTGGCCAGGTCATCTGAATGTAAATTGAGGGCACTATTTTACAGTATTGCTACAGATTATATGAAGCTAGCAGTTTTCTAAGAACATGTGTGTGCCTATTTCTATATATTCATATTACTATATATACTTTCATATTGTTGGTGTAACAAATGATCACAAATGTAATGGTTTAACATGACTCAATTTTATCTTATAGTTGCGGAGGTTAGAGGTCCCCCTAAATGGGTCTTGCAAGGTTAAAATCAAAGTTGGGCAAGGTTATGTTCTTCCTGAAGGTCTGGAAATTTGTTCCTTCTTTTTCCTCTTTTTTTTTCCCTAGCTTCTAAAGGCTTCCCAAGTTCCTTGGCCCTAACCTCTCTGTCCATCATCACATCTTCTCTGCTGTGACACTCCTGCTCACCACTTGTAAAGACCCTTGTGATGGCATTGGACCCCATCTGGATAAACCAGGGTAATCTTTCAATCTCAAGAACTTGGACACAACCACATCTACAGAGACACTTTTTCCACGTAAGGTCACCTATTTGCCTATTCCAGGGGTTAGAAGGTGGACATCTTTGGGGGCCATCATTCTGTCTACCACAAAATGCTTTTGTTCACATTTGCAAAAGAATTGAGAACATTTTTCATAACCATTTAAGACTATTTTGTCATGGCTCAAGGAGGGCTGATAGCAATTCTATTTGAGAATAGCCCTCAAGTCCTCAGTTAGTGCTGGGCACATGTTGTGTTTATTTGATTGTTCACTTCTTTATTGCCACTCCCTTTAGAGAATGTAAGCTCCATGTGGGTCCTTTCTGTTTCATTAATAGCTGTTTTCCTAAAGCAGCACAACTGATGAACAATAGGCATGTGATAAAAGTCTTCAATGAATGAATGAATGAACTGCTGAATTTGACAAATACTAATTGAACTACCTGCCAGGGTAGATGCTAGAAAAATGGGACTAGATAGATATAGTAAATCCTGTGAAGGTCATATTGAATAAAATACTCTGTGATGATTTATGAAGGAAACAGAACACTTCTATCTGCTCTTTTAAAGAATGTGAATTTAGCTAATCCCAAATGAGATGCAGACTAGTGGATATAATAAAATATCTTGTCTATGTTAAAGTATTTTCAGAAGTGACATGTTGGGAAGAGAACAGATCATAGATAAATACGAGGTTTCCAGTATATTAAATATTGAAAGAGTACTGATGAGGACAAGATATACAAGATTGGAAAACTAGCTTTAAAAGGGGTGAGTTTCAGCCTGCGACCTCCTGAGGGCTGTGATGATACTACCTCTCCACTGTCCTGGCAGCCGAAGCCCCATTCCTCCTCTCCTGCTGATAGCAGAGCTCCTCATGTCAGCTGACTACACTCACTGTGTCTCTAATTTTCCCAGGAACCCACTGCCAGATCTTCCTCTTCACTGAACTTGCTCTTGCAGGGTCATCTTCACATGACCTGGAGCCATTGCCTCCTTCTAGAAACTTTTTCTTCCTGACTTCCAGAAACCCCACTGGGCTTTTCTTTCTTCCAGTAGCTGCTCCTTCTTCTTCCCTCCAGCTGCTTCCACCTCATCTTCCTGACCTGGGGCTCAGTCCCTGACTTTCATCCCTTTCTCATCGGCACTTACCCATATTGTTCCTGTACCCTTAAGCTGAAGACTCTTCAGCCATCTGTATTCCTCACCTAGACTGACCTTGAACTCAAGACTGCAATATCCAGCAAGGGATCTGAAACTTCACAAAACTCCTTTCCCTAACCTGCTCCTTATAAAACTTTTCCCATCTTCCCAAAGGCAACTTCATCTTTTAAGCTGCTTAAGCCAAAAATTTCAGTTGGTTTTAGCATCTGTCTTTCTCCATACCATATACAATCCATTAAGAAGTCTTGTCAGTACTACCATGAATCCAGAATTGGAAGTTTCCTACCATTGCCTTTCACCTGAGTTACTGCAACAGCTGCCTAGCGCTTCTCTGCCCACACCCCTAAATCTCCTGCAGTCAATTTCCAGCCTAGAGCCTGGAGTGGCCTTTTTAAAACATGAACTGGATCATATCACAACTCTGCATAAAACCTTCCTGCAGCTTCCTGTTTTACTCAGAGTCACAACCAGACTCCCTGCTGAACTGGCATGGTCCCCTGCCTCCATCCTGTCACTCTCACTCTTAACACCTCTGGCTCCAGGCCCAGTGATCTTATTCCCTATGTTCTCTAAGTGTGAGTCCACCATGGGGACAGTGCAGTTGTGGTCTCTCTACCTGGAAGGCCCTCTCCTGGGGAGCTGCAGGGCTCCTCTCACTTTCTGCTCAAGATCTCTTCTCAGTACTGATCACTTCTCCCTGTCATCTTATTTTAATAATCCTTGACAACATACCACAGAGCTCTCTGCAATTCTTCTTTATTTTTCTTCATAGCACTTAACTCTAAGGTAATATGTATTATATACATATGTGTATTATATAACATATTGTATAACATATAACATGCTTATTTATTTTATGAAAATGTTCACCACATAGAAACCGTGTGCTGGGGAAAATTTAACTCTTTTGTTATTTTATTGGACCCATCATGTAGAAAATTATCTGGCACATAGTATGCACTCAGTAGATATTTGCAAATTAATTGAACAGAAACACTGAATGAACAAATACCCAGGCAATTTTGCTTAATTTAAGTGTGTAATAAGCAATAAAATGAGTTGAGAGCTACTTCAAATTTCCTCAAGTTCTTATAATCAGTAAGCTGCAGCCTACTCACACAAGGGTAACAGTGAAAGTTTTGAGATACAGAAAAATTAAGAGACATAAAATCATTTTTATTACTATATTTCCTCAAAATAATTGCTCACCATTTTGAACTTTGGGTTCATGTCAGAGAGATCACCTCTGATGATGAGCTCTCTGCTTCCAAATTCAATATTTATTTGCCTACATTCATTTCCCTCATTTGTTTACTTCATTCTTCATTTTATTTGAGTTGATAGTCCTTCACTGAAA